GGGCTCGTGCCCCTCCTTTGGGCCCGCCAGGCCCAGGGCCCCGTGTGCCGCCTGAGCCAGGGAGGCCTCAAGGACACAGATTGTATCAGTCTGGGGAACCCGCCATCGGCTGATGCCCTCCCCCCCAGCTACTAACGGGCACAGACCGGGCCCCACAGGCCCCCGGACGTGCTGGTGCAGAGCTCAGGAGAGGCAGGTGTTCCGGGTGCTGCTGCTGGGTGGCTCTGGGGAGATGGGTGCGATACTGGGGCTTAGTCCTGGGTGCTGGGGCCTCCCTCGCTGTGCGCACTTCACGGGCGGCTCCTGTGCGCTCCCCAGGGCCCTGGCGCCTTGTGGGACCCGGGCTCAAACTCTCCCTGCGGGCACCTCCTGGGTGTGACCTGCTCCCGTTCCTCCTTGCCAAGGGACAGCTGCCTGGAAACCAGCTCTCTGCTCCTGCCTCTTTCCTGCGGTAGTCCCCCAGGCTACAAGCAGCCGGTCTGCCCAGAGGCCAGCCCCACCCGCCAGGCCCCACAACATGGGCCAGACTCCCTTCTGCAACACATGGGCCAGAGACACAGAATTACCAGCCCGGGTCCTTCCACAGCCTACCCCGCTCATAGCGCACACTGCACCAAACTGCAGTGCTCACTCTCGCACCCCCCCACAGTGCACAGGCACACCCGGAGTCACACTCACACCCCACAGTGCACAGGCACACCCGGAGTCACACTCACACCCCGCAGTGCACAGGTACACCTGGAGTCACACTCGCAACCCCGCAGTGCACAGGTACACCCGGAGTCACACTTGCACACCCGGAGTCACATTCGCACCCCTGTATAGTGCACAGGTACACCCAGAGTCACACTCGCACCCCGCAGTACACAGGTACACCCGGAATCACATTTGCACCCCTGTATAGTGCACAGGTACACCCAGAGTCACACTCGCACCCCGCAGTGCACAGGCACACCCGGAATCACATTTGCACCCCTGTATAGTGCACAGGTCACTTTTGGAGGACTTGTAACATTCATTTGCATATTTGCATATTCAATAAGCAAATGATGAATATTCAGATAAGTTGTTTCTGGTCCTCCCAAAGCCCCCAGTGCCAGTGTTAGCAAAGCTTTTGATACGGTCACCCACAATATTCTTGCCAGCAAGTTAAGGGAATATGGATTGGATAAATGGACTGTAAAGTGATAGAAAGCTGGCTAGATCAGGGTTTCTGCACACCCGGAGTCACATTCGCACCCGTTTTTTTTTTTTTTTTTTTTTTTTTGGGGGACCTGTCTTTTG